ACACACAGAAATAAATAGTATAAATTAATAAATTCAAAGCAGTCAAATCAAATTGTTAATCAAAGTCTCTCAATCACAAAATGTCCATTAAATCAACAAACCAAAATAAAAATGTGTCTTTTAATTGAATACACTGAATAAGGACTCCAGGGCCAGTTTTCATAAACATTTTGAGAACTGAGCTCCTAAATTAACCTAATTTTTTTTAGCAAGGACTCTGAGCTGAGTGATTAAGGAAATTATCAGTGCAAGGAAGGGACAGAAACTTTGACCTTCATGAGGAGGTGCGGTCGACCTCGTTACCAGGTGTGACACATTCTTTTAACAGATGTAATTGGTTGTCCTTTTGTGAGCCACTGAGGTGTGGATGTCCAGTGGAAATTAAATTAACTGCGTCACAATGGGCCTCATTTACTAATTTGAGGGTAGAAACACTTCTTACTTTGACCATCAAAAACGAGTGCACACGAAACTCACCCTCAGTTGTTTCTATGCACATGTTAAAGGAGAAGTCCGGTATTTTGCACTTTGAGCCCCATTTCTGATTGTTTATGATGAAATAGAGTGGCTAAGACTAAAATAGTGACGATTGCTCCTTTTCGGAGAATTTGTCTTTCCCCTGCCTGGCTTAACACTGCTGCCTATGGCCATGTGTGACCCTGTCCTAAAACCACCCTAAACGTTCGTTTTCAAAGCCATGAAACTCACCGAGTGGTCAGTGGTGTTCGTTGATGTTCTGACATAAAAATCGTAGCAAACTGTGATCTCCATCCGTGTTTTCACTATTCATCTCGATTGTGGAACTATTTTTTCAGCTGCCTCACACCCGTGTGTAAACTTCCACTTGATCGTTCATTTGACCCTGAGGCGTTATACACTCCAGCCCACTTGATGGCGATAATGGGAAAGGGGGCTGACACGCAGCAAAGGGCCTCAGGTTGGAATCAAGCCTGCAGCCACCGGGCAAGGACACTGCCCCTGAACATGGGACACCCAGTAGCTTGGTGGGTGAGTGGACGCCACCTCTTTGTTGCCACCATTTTCTCCTCTGCTTAAAAAACTCTGAAGCTTCCTAAAAGTCCTCCTCTGTACTCCCAACATTTTTTTTTTTTACCTTAGGAGCTCTTTTAAGGGCTGAGACATTCTTAGAAAACATTTCAACTCTAAGAATTTTCTTTAAGTTATGTCACTAGGAGCAACTCTTAGTATGAGAAAGCTTTGTGAAAACGGCCCCAGATGATCTTTCATCATTTCATTGCAGGAGTTTGTGTGCAAGTTGTGTGTGAGTGAATCAATGAACAGTTTGTAGGCCCTTTCAAATAAATAAAGTGTGTCGTCGGGGGTGGGGGGGGGACACTTAACTGTCCAAGCAGGGAATGAACGCGGTAAAAAGGCGGTGTGCAAAAACAGAGTAGGCTGAATGTAGAATATGAGAGGCCATGCACATTAACCTGGAGGCAGGAGAAAAGGGGGAGACTGGAGAGTTGACTCACCTTGACTCGTGCAGGTCCAGCAGACAGTCATGGAGATAGTTGAACAAGTTTCATCCAAACCTGCTCCTTAGAGAAGTCAGTGAAGTCCAACAACTGCCACTCTGTTTACTTTGCAGTGTGTATTTGTTTGTTTGTCAGCAGAGATGTCCGAGAAGCGAAACAAACTTTTAGTAACTCTCACTCCTCTTCCTGGTCTCCATGCTTCCCTCCTTCGTCAGTCCCCTCAGCTCACAGGTGTGTCTCATTTACACCTCACTTTCCCCACGTTGCTCTCCTCTCAAGACTGAAAAGCACAGTTCCGTACCTTATATCTTTTCTCCTCTTTCGGCCACACACTTATGAAGCTCAGCATAAGCTCAGTCAGGAAGACTTCCTTTATGCTATATTCATTCACAGTTCTGACTGAATTCAAATTTGAAGACTTGCAGACTTTGTGGGCGCCTTCCAGGGAAGTCTGGGAGTGCTGTTCAAATCCACTATTCAACCAGTCAACAAGAGGCCTCAAGTGGACTGTCTGCAGACTTCCAGAGAGTCCACTTGGGGTGCAGACCTCACTGATTTAATAACCCACAATTCATTGCCATACAGATTCCACATTGTGTTGTGTTAAAAATCGTTACTGTTAATTAGGCCTATTGAAATGCTGCTCGTATCGTGTAGGCCAGAAATAATATTCAACCACATCATGATACAGAAATATGTCGCAGTATAGGCTGTAGAGGGACTGAGCATGCGTTTCATTATTTTTATTGCATTTTTCATTATTTTATTATTATTTCTTTAGTATTTAATTATTATTAATAAAATGCTAAAAGATAATAGGCTACAAACACTGGCCAAAAAACAACAATAGAGGGTCTTCTCATGGAAGCAGTACCCAGTTTATTGAGATATATAGTCCTGTCCTTATTTACAAACATTTCTGTTTTTTTGAATGCGTGTAGCATGTTATATAGAGCTGTATTGATAAATTTTTTTTCCTTACTACGTCTCTACAACCCTTCTGGAATAGATGACATCACGATGGGGTCTAATCACCAAAGACTTTTCAGATTTCTGATACTTAGGTGCACATGTAAATAAATATTCTTTTCTCTCAGAGTCTATCCTGTCTGAAATATATTCATGTTAATGTCACATTTCTGAATATAGCAGCCTTTTGTCATTTGTGTTTTCAAGTACTCTGTGTTTAAACAAAATAAAGCAACATCTGATCCTCTGAATTAGAGCTGTAATCATTAGTTGGAGTGAGATAGTTGAGGAAGTTGGATTTTAGTGGCAAATAAGATACTTTGTCTCAAAATTTAGGAGCTCGGACACAAAGATTTAGCAAATTATAGGTGCTAACTCGGCCATACTGCATGTCACTAACTCGGCTTCTTCTCCGGAGCCTTTGTGCTCCACTGTCTCTCAGATTAACTCATATAGCAGCGGTGCCTGGACAGCGTGACGTGTGTGGTTGTGCTGCTGCCGTGGTCCTGCCAGATGCCTCCTGCTGCTGCTGCCATCATTAGTCATTAGTCATACTTCTACTGTTATTATACACATATGACTATTGTCAC